TTTGTCGCCAATCTTGATGCCACTGTTCTTCTTATTAATTCTTGTATTTGCCATGTAGGAAGCATATCTTTTTTCTACAAGTAATGCATGCAGCTAGACGCCATACTGAGGCTTAACCCCTGCCATGTCCTCTATGTTCTCCATCAACTTGAACTCTACCGTTGTATGACCCAATATACCACACTCAGAGCAAAATAATGGTAAACGCTCGTACTTAAGCATTCCTCTTATAACTTTTCCATCACTATGAGCACCTATTGCCACAAATCTCCTTAGAGATTTTCTTATGTCCAATTCAACTCTCAACCAGAGAAACCTTTCCCACTCTAATAATCCATGTTTGAGTCAACTCCTTTATGGTTTCCAATCTTTTCCCAATGCTCTTTCCAACATTCTTGTTCATCCATTTCAAAGGTAGATCATAAATCCTTACCCAAAATTGTGCCATATCAAACTTGTATTCAGATGGCCTCAAATCTCCATCAAACTCAGCAAAAACTAAGAGGTTATTTTCAAAAGACCAAGGAGAACCATCCATAACCCTTAGCTTATCCTTCTTTTTTTTTTTTTTGAGCCAAACTTTAAAAAAAAAAAAGTTGGTGTCTAATATACTAACTTGTATCTCCATGGCCAACTTTCAGATGACTTTAAAAATCCTTATCATGGCTTCTCTGATGAAAGAACGGTTGGTTAGCAATTGACCCACTAGCCATCTCTCCCTTTCCACCATATTTATCGTACTCGGTAACTCCCTTACATTAACTCCATCATTTTCTTTTTTTATAAGCGTTAAGTTATTGCAAGCCTCTTCCAACTTGTCCGCCATCACTAATGGCAAACAAACTAATGACCACTAGTTACTAAGACAACTAAGCCACCTCCAAGACAACTCAGTAAAGGGATCTCGAAGATGGAAACTTTATACTCAGTCGAAACTAAGACTCCTCTTATAGAGTCAAAACCCAAATAAGACTCTAACGTGAATTTTAATCTCATGAGTTAATCAAGTATCAGATTGATAGAAAAGCTAGATTATGCAATAAAAAATATATTATTAAGGTTATAATGATAATTTATTTTATTTAAAAAGAGAGAATTCAATTTAAAATTTTGTTTCTTTCTATTTCTTTTTCATTATAAAAATTTGGGTGGGTTTTTGTAAAAAAATTCATATTTTTTTCTCTTTTACAATTTAAAATAACTATAAATTTTATTTTTGTTTTTTTTTAACTTTTTTCTAAAATAGTAAAAAACTTTACCATTAATAATCACTGTGATTAGAAGCGAACCTAATCGACTAAGGCCTCCATTAGCATTGCATTTTGGTTTCAAAACACAACTTTTGAATGCAAAAATAATTCTAAACACACTATAATTTTTGTTAAAAGCATTTTTTTATGGCTAAAAATGAGTCAATTTTAAAAGCTAATTATGAGGTGCAATTGCAGTTTGAAATTTATAGTTTGGAAATAAAATAACCAAATACCCACTGAATTATTTATTTTTGACAAAAATCACTTACTTTTTCCTTTCCAACATCATGTCTTTTTTAAACTTTTTTATAGCATTTTTTAAACACATTTTTTTCAAACTGAAAATTTCCCAACTACAACAATAATATCACCTAATTAACCAAATTTTCTAGGCCGGTTGTGATGTGTGCTTCTTGTGGAAATCAATTGGCCTTTGTCAAAAGCCCAATTTCCCAAATTTTGATTTTCTTCGAATTTTTTATTTTTAAAATTTTATTTTAAAGTTCAAACTCATGCTAGGAGCCCAAGTGAGCTCATGCTTTTTAGTTGATTCGGTGATAATCATGCTTAATTGAATCACCTCAAGCAACTTCATTGTTTTCGAGTCTAAATTATAAAAAATAAAGTCAACTGAGCTTGAACAATGAATTTTGAGTTTTTTAATCAAGTCAAATGAGTACAGCAATGTAGCAACAGTAAGCTTTGTTTAGCTCAAATAAATTTTAAGCTAGGTTGGATATGAGATTCGCATGAGGTCATAATTGAAAATTGTTTTTTTATTTGAAATTATCAGACAACGAGCATTGATTATTAGAACCAACTAGAACTAAAATTGAGGATCATTTTATTTCATGAAAAATGATTTTTCAAAAAATGATTTTTATATTTTTAATGTTTGTTTGATAAAAAATTGATTGGAAAACGAATAACGACTTATTGATAAACTGAAAATGAGATCATTTGTCTCGAAATTATCTTTTTCTTTTCAAAATAGGAAAATATTTTTTGATAAAATGTGCTTATAAGTAAGACTATTTATTAACCTCATGATTATAATTTTATTAAAGCGAGACTTTGGACATGATTTTTTAAGTTTGAACTTAATTTATCTGATCTCTAATGTTATTATATTAATTAGAAATATTTTATATAATTTTACTTAAAATATTAATATTAAAAGTCTCTTAATATTTTAATATTAAATATTTTTATAATTCTACTTAAGCCAAGCTTTCAACATGATATTTAAACTCGAATTTGATTTGATTCGAACAAAAATATTATTATATTAATAAAAAAATTTATTTAATTTATTAGCTCAAAGATTTGAAATAAACCAAGAGGGGGTGAATTGGTTGATAATAAAATTTTCAAAAATCAATACTTAATAAGCACAAATTCTGTAAAATAATTTATTCAAGCAAATGAACACAATAAATAAGAGTAAACTAACGATCTTAAAAACAAGGGATAGAGATAGAGAATTAGACACCAAGGTTTATAGAGATTTGATTCTTTCTTTAGGCAACTACATCTTCTCTCTTAGCCTCACTTGCTAAGGACTTTAATCTATTATGTGTTGAAAGTTATAACATAGCTTCTCAAAGCTTTATATAATTAACACCACAAACTCTTAAGAGTTATCCTCCCCTTAAGCTCAAAATCTCACAATATAAAATTTCTGAAGTGTTATGTAAACTTAAAGACCATCTCTAAGGTTAGGTGTTTGTTAGCTTGAAGTACAAAGCAATATTGACAAGAGAATTTAGAAAAAAATCGATACAAGAAGGATTTTTTGTATTCTTTTCTCTTTTGAACTAGTTTGAATGCTTGAACAAGATGATTGATGGAGGCAATAAGTTCTCTTAGCTTTTCATACTCTTAATTTACAGTGAAAGCCTTCATTTATATGTAAAATTGAGTAGATAAACGTTGTTTTGCATTTAATGCTTCAAACTGTAAAATATCAGACAAAAAATAGCTGTTGGGGCTTTATGGCCATCAGGGGATCGATCCTCTCATGTAGGGGATCGATTGGGTCAATTATAGGAAAACCTAAATTTGTGCAAGAAAACACATACCTGATCAATCAGGTAGTATACCTGATCGATTCAGTACTTGGGTGATCAATCCTCTATGTGGGGAAATCAATCCTTTTTGTGAAATTTTTAACCTAGAATTGCATTTTATATAAAAAAAACAAATCGATTCCTTTAAAGGGGGATCGATCGAGTAAGTTTAAATCCTAACCAATCAATCTTTACAGAGAGGGGATCGATTGGTTCTTAATGAATTCCCACAACTTTAGCTATCGAAAAAAAAATGGATTGATCCATTTAACCAAGAGATCGATTAGGTAAAGGTGGGGATCGATCCTTTCTATTTAAAACATGCCTTAATCCATTTTTTTTGAGAATTTGTTTTGTTTTGGCTCCAAAATGAATTTTGACAAGATAGAAAGCTAGAAAAATGTTCAATTTAAGATTATGAGAGTTTGATTCACGTTAGGCAAATTTTTGTTTTGTCAATTCAAAACTTTTAATCAATTCAAGGCTAACATAATTTTTAGTAAAAATTAAAATATTAATATTAAAAGTATTTTGGTATTTTAATTTTTAATATTTCTATTTTGTACATTAGTAAATATAAATCTTTTTAAATAATAAATAGTATTATATTATTATTTTAATAATAAATATTAATATACTTAAATAATATTTTTATTATTTTAATAATTAATATTATTTAATATAATATTAATATTATTTTAATAATATGAATATTTTAATAATTTTTTATTATTTTTCAATTTAAAATATATTATTTTATATTTTAGTGACTAATTTATTTATAATACTATTTTAATAATAAACATAAATTAATATTTTTGTTATTACTTAATAATAGATAGTTTTAATATAGAATATAATTATTTTAATAGTATAAATATTTTTAATATTTTAATATTGATTATTACTATTTAAATATTATTTTACTAATAAAAATATATTTTAATAATAGTAATACTATTTTAAATATTATAAAATATTAATATAAATAATAAATAGTTTTATTTTGAGTGTTTAATATTAATATAATATTTAATAATTAATAGCATAATTAAAATAAAATTTTTAATATTAATAAATATAGTAATAAATAATTTCAATATATATTATTAATAAATAATTTTTAATATTTTAATATTTATGCCAATATTGTTAAAAAATAAATTTTTTGAAAAACAATCAAACAATAAAAAAATATTTTTCATTAACTTATCTAAATAACAAAAAATCTTTACTTTTCTAGAAAACGTGAACATATTTTAAAAAAGTAATTTTTAAAGGCCAATTTCCATGAAATAATTGGATTTGAGTGTCCTTGTACCTTGAAAATTTTGGTTCGTAATGACACTACACTTGTTGTTTAGTTTGGTTTTTACAAGGCAATTTGGATTTCACTGAGGCCCAATCTGTCCTAGGCCTCTAATGTGTTTGTTCTCTTTTCAGCCTACAAATTCAAGTAAAACAATGCAAAATTCCCCTTTAGCATCTTTGCTCTCCTTGAAAAAATGGATCCCCTGTCCATACCATGATGCTAATAGTAATAGAATACAAACCATGTAAAAGAACTACGACCAACGGGATCATCTTCATTCTTTTCCCATATTTTGCTAATAGAAAATAAACATCATTAATTTAGCAACCCTGTGCAAAGCCCCATACTCTGATTGGGGTTTTATGGTCATTTCAATAGACCTGCCGACTGACTATATTCAAACCCAACTATCCTCCAAAAATAAGTCATGTACTGCCGTGCCAATATGAATTGCGATCAAGTACAATCGTCTTTTTTAAACCAATGGCCTAAATTTATTACTTTAAAACGAAATATGTTTAGAGCAATAAAAGAAACAGTTCTTTTCTCACCAAAATGTAACATTTCATGAACTGGAACTGCTGCATTGAAGCAGTAAATATCCAGAAACAATCCTCCTCAGGAGAACTAAAAATCAAATGCACTACAAACATCAGCCTAGGCGGGAAGATTCTTGAATTATCCTAATGCAGCTACAGGTCTCAAAGGAACGAAGTGAAAACAAAGGAAAAGAGTAGAGCTTCATAATTTCCCCTCTACTTTGCTTGAGGGTGAGAAGCAATGAACTCAACAGCAAGATTGATCGTGCTGATTTTGTCTGCCTCATTATCAGGTATCTCAAACCCAAATTCTTCTTCAAGGGCCATGACAACCTCCACAGTGTCCAAACTATCTAATCCAAGATCATTTTGAAAATGCGCGTCTGGGGCAACCTGCAAATTAGAAAAAATGAGATATTAAATAGGACAAAAACACTCTAAAAGAGCAAAATTCTATATGCAACCAAAAGAACTTTCTAGAAGTTGCACTCAAAATAACCTAAAAATTTATATTTTTTCATCATTACAAAATATATTGAAGATAAGAATAGAGGGAAAAAAACAAGCTGGGAATATCTTCTTTCCAAGTAGTAGAATACACAACAGTCACAGTCGTATCAATTGAAGTGATCCACTTGAACATGAAGAAAGCTTCTTTCCAAGTAGACATAAAATCACACTTCTACAACTACAACTAGCAATTTAGGTTGATATAAAGATTATAGAATGTATCCTTGTTTGTTTGTAAATCACACTACTAGTACAAAAACTTGGACTAGCAATGCAGCCAAAGCTAATATTTGTGCCTGACCATAACTCTTCAAATTGCTTATTAGCAAGTAACAGAAGCTTCAAGCCCCATCCCACCTATATCCCAATTAAGAAAACAAAATAGGTTGCTCTCGGGATGAATGCAATGAAATAACATAAAATCAAAAGAGCCAGAAAGAAATCAGCTCTAAAAAAATGAAACTGCATCATAGACCAAACACAGTTTTCTCCCATTGACCTATGAGCAGCTTTGTCCATTCAGAATCTACCTCAAGTTCACATTGATTTCCCGTCTTAAAGACATAATTTGGTAACATTTAACCAGAGCTACAAAAAGGACATCTTTTTATTAGTTCTCAACATTTGTGTAGTAAAATTATCATATCATAAATTAAAAAAAAAAGATAAATTTATTCCCAAATAATTGAAAGGTAGGTCATCCAATTGATTTAGGAGAAATGCAATTCCTTTAGGGTTGATCAATCACAAAGTAAGCCGAGATCAATCACAAAGTAAGCCGAGACAATCCAAAATCTAAACCCATGTTTTCCATAATTTGTCATGAAATATGAAAGAAAAAGGTAAACCTAACGGGGCCATACGGATGCTACTTTCACATTGATGAATCCATTATCATATTACCATTCATTTAATTGAAAAAACAAATCATATGTTTCATTTTCCACAAACTGTATAATGCACAAATAATCTACACTCCAAAATTTGAAGAAAATAAACGAAAAGGGAAAGTGCGAAGTGAACAAGTAAGGACCTTGGAAGGATCAACTTTCTGGAAGTTTTTGACGACGGAGATGACGCGATCGGTGACCTCAGACTTGTCGAGGAAAGAGCCCTTGACCTCGTCGGAGAACCCGCGACATATGGCGTTAAAGGTAAGAGCGAAGATCCCGTTATTGATAGGGTTGGGGTTACGAGGCAGGGCCGTTGCGTTCACCCGCAGGTGCTTAAGCAAAGCTCCTCTCACCGCCGCCATTTCAATCAGTAGCCCTCTTCTGTTCTTTCCAGTGCAAATGGGAAGACACCTTTTTTTTCCTGTTTTCGCTCTCTCTCTCAACCACGAGAAATGGGAACCTTTGTAGCTTAAGAGGCGAGTAAAAGTGAGAAATAAATGAGGAATACGACGTCGTATTTTCTTGCTTTCGTCCCTTTTTTTTTTTATATTATTTTTTCTTTTTCTTTGCCAAAAGGGCATGACTTCTAAAATTGTTGATCATTCATCTTCATCTTGTGGATTGCATATCGTCTTAGTCTTTATTGTTAAAGCTAAACTATAAAGCTAAACTACAAATTAGGAGAAAGATTATATGAAATTTTATATTTCATATTAATTGTATTAAAACACTTTCACATTATTAAAGTAATATGTTACAGGTGAATTATATGAAGAGTTGATATTAGGCTATTGAGTTGGGCTATTAGGCTATTGGAGTTAGTAGAATGTTTAGTTCACTAAAATTAGTTGAATTGAAATTTTGTTAAGTTAGTTGATATCATGATTATATTAATTGTTGCTGCTAATTGTTAGGATTAGTTATAATTGCTGAGTCATAATCTATTAAGATATTTAGGAAGAATACAACACATGTAATCATCATTTTAGAAAATAATACAATTCTTGAATTTTCTCTTTTATCCCTTTATCTCTTTTCTCTTTTTCTTTTATTCTTTCTTCTACCATTCGTGGCTATGCGCGGCTATGCATGCTCATTAAGCTTTAGATCAGCTCATTCTCTTACATTCCAATCAACTTGTATCATTATTATTAGAGTTTAAGATTCTAGCATGGCTGACGGTGAGATTATCCAATTAAAACAAGATATTATTCAGCTAGGAAAGGGATCGTGTGCTTGGAATCCAAGATTGATAGTTGGATGGAGCATTTGCATGAGGACTTACGTATGGACATTCAAACTTAGATTAAAAGCTTTTATATTAGGATGACCAAGATGTTTGATGAAATGTTTACAAGAATGTACAATGAAATCGTGGGTGAAGAAGGTAAAGATCATGTGGTGGACTTGATGGGAAATCATCCAACCAAACAAAACACATCCATGGTAGATCATGTGTTGGACCTAAAGGAAAACCATTCCACTAAACAAAAGACTTCCATGGCAATCTCTACCAATCTTTGTCCCTTGTTTTCTTCATTCACTTTTCCCAAATTTACCCTTAAAAATTTTTTTTTTCCTTCGAATCCACCTCCACAAAAACTTATCTCAAACATACTAGTACCCAAAATGTTTAATGAGTCCAAGTCCAATGGTACTAAATTAAATATTGAAATGGTTATAGGACATGATAGGTACCCAACTTCTTATTCTTTTATGTTAAAAATGATACTGTCTTTTGTTGATTAGAATGCACACCATTGAAACTAGGTTGTTAATGCTTGTAAGAAGATTGAAATGGCTTTTACAATATTATTTATGGCTGGGAATGAGTTGATTATAATTCAAGACCCATACGTGTTTAGGCTTTTAGTAATCGAAAAAAGTCAAGGTAATGGTTGGTGAGTTTATTTTAGAAAAATTAATTTGATTTAGTTAGGGGTGTTCCCTATTTTGTTACTAAGATTAATGGTCACCTTTCACCCTTACCACCTATAGTCACAATCACTACACTCTTTAATTTGAATTTTCTAATTGAAACTTGCCTAGTTCATATTATTGTTATTTGTTTAGTATCCAAACACTCTTTCAGTTACTTCTATTTCTTAGAGACATGCACTCTTAATCCAGTTACAAAAGAGAAAGCTAGTTTATTTGCATTAATCATTGCCAGATTTATCAGCTCATGTGTTATTAAGCACTTTCGATTGTCATTTGTTAAGTTTGTATTTGTTTGTAAAAGGTTTAAGAACCAAAAGTTGTTGTTTGAGGAATCTTTACATGAGGTAGCTCTATTATTGACTACTATATAAAAGCTTCGAATTTAATACTAATCATAATTTTCTCCTTGCTTTGAAGGAACTATTGTCAGAATTGAGTTTAATAATGCCGTTACAGCTTTGAACCCAGTTGATACTCATACCATTAGTTGTGTTCTTTCACCCATTTATGACTAGCACTTGGCTCACATTCTCAGTACAACTATAAAAGTACCTAATGTCATATAGGACCTTCATAAAGCTCTTAAAATTCACAACCCTAATAACACTTTGCTAAGTTTTTTAAGCAGTACTCAAGATTTATTAGCACAGAAAACTCTAAAAATCACAGATGTTGTTTTTTCAATCTTAATAACCAAGGTAGTTATGATCTATTGGTACGAACATAATATCAAATTAGAACAACTAAGCAAGTTAATGTTGCACTAACTACATGCAACGATTTAAAGTTAGAAGGCCTTGTTATTATTGGATGTGTAACATCAAACATAGAAGCTGCTTAACTTGCTAAAGTTAAATGCCTAACAAAGGTGGTTGGTGTTCTTGTTACAATAAATGGAGAGATCAAGAATCAATTTATGAAAACTAATGTTGGGTTTGATACAATATATAAAGAGTTAGCAAAAGCTAGCTATAAAGGAATGGAACTTGTTGCTCCATTATGAACACAATAAGAAAGCTTAAGAGTCATGCTTAGTTGGCATTTTGAGAATTTCAAATTGGCTATTCAAAAGATGACTTAGAGCTTGAAGTCACACTTTTTACATTGACTTGAAGGAAGTGGAAGAAAGAAGTGCAACTACGAAAGCTTCTAAAGGAAGATTTAATGAGCTATAATTTTTTTTATCTAGTTGGCATCCTACATGGCATTTTGGAGGAAGCACATTGGCTTTTTTAGATCTAGGATTTTCCTATAAATAGGATTAAAAGGTGCAGTAATAAGGGAGTTACATTTTTTGCATTTTAAATTTTTACTTGCGCTTTTTTTTTCCTTTCTAGGCAACTTTCTCCACTTTCTCATTTTGGAGGTCGTTTAGGAGAAAATTCTTTTATATTTTCTTGCATTTTTTTAAGCACTTTAATTTTCCTACACATGAACTATTTATTTAATGCAATTTACAAATTTCTTTCAATTTTTATTCATTTTCGTGATGTTTTCATTAAAATCTCAAAGCAATATGGTAGTTTTCATTCTCAACATAGTTAAGGTTTTTCATTGTGATCACTGAGTTGTAGATTTGTTTTTCTTTTGAATTTTCATTGAATAACTTTCACTCATAGCATTAAAAATATGGACAATTTCAACTTTAAATTCGTTATAGTTTTTTCTAAAAATTTTCAAAGTCCCAGCTTAATTGTTGGCAACAAATGAGGCAACAAGTAGTGATAACACTTATGGTGGCTTTCCTCTTTACTAGGCAACAGTAAACTCTTTTCTTTTATTCTCTCTTGTTATTTCATGTATCTAGTTATATATGTACAATTTTTTGTACTTTAATTCATGCTTTTAATTTTCGTTTGACTTATTTACATGTTAATTCCTATGTTTTCTTTATTTTGATGTTGAATTTCATTTAAGTTCATTGGACTTACTGTTTATTATTTTAAGTTGATTCTTTTTGTTGATTCTTTGAGGTTCACTTGATGATTTTGATTAGTTGTACTTCATTCATTAAATTGAGCTTTAGATCTTAGATTTAAGTAACTTTAATTTCAAATTATGTTTTGAGTTTTTATTCTTGGTTTGAAATTTCTATTCAGTTGTCATTTTATTTTATTAAATTTAATTTGATTTCAACTTATATCTAGGTTAGTTTATTGTCTTTTAATGAGTTTTACATCAAAAACTGTAGGCCTTAGGTTTGGTAATTTCAATTTCTAACCTTTATGAATTTTGTTTCTGTACTAGTTTTAATTGTGCATTTTCTATTTTTGTCATATGATTGCTGACTGTACTTAGTTTGATTTTAATTCTCTTGCATCTTAATTTGTTGCTATGTTGATACATTCTTACAGTAGTTTACTTATTGTTTTTTACTTGTGCTTTTACTTATTCATTTACTTGTTTGTGCTTTTATCATGTTTGCTTGCATTGTTCTATTTACCTTGTTACTTTCGTGTTTTTACCTTGCTTTCTTTAGTATAAATGTAGTGTATATTAAACTTTTTTGTTTTGGTCAAACTAATTATAGCATGAAAGTTTTGTCTTTTGGTACCTAAACCTAGCCAAATCCTAAATCAATCCTTGAGGGAATGATAGTTAACTCACTACTCTATTACTTAAACGACCTGTGCACTTGCAATCCAATTGATATATTAATAAAATTATTGTTTAATATCTTAATTTAACATATGAATTTAATAAAAAATATTATATTTTTTATATAACTAAGATGTAATTTATATTAAAAAGTAATATTTTTATTAATTATACTAAATTAAAATTATTTAATTAATTTCGTATTGAACTTGGTCAAGTCATAGTTTGGATCAAAAGTAATAATTTGATGTTGGGTAAAATATTTTATGAGTCGGGTTATAGTCAAATGGGTGAAAATTCATTCCGACTCGACTCATTGCCATCTTTAACTTTTTTTCTTACCTTTTTCTAAGGTGAAAGGAAGCTCTTTATTTACCTTTATCACTTCTTAGGTTCATGGTCTCTTCCGTATTAATATACTTTTTTGTTTCTTAAAACAGTTCAGCCAAAGTTTTAAGAGGTTTACCAAAAGGAAGAATTTAAAGTTAAATCTTTTTGATCCAACCCATTTGTGAAAGTGACCATTGTTGTTGTTTGCTCTAAGTCTTTGGTTTGAAAAGCTTCTAAATTGAAGTACATCACAAACTCTTTTAGAGTTTTAATAGGTTGTTGTTTCACAACTATCAAGCTCAGTGTTGTCTTCCTAATTCATTAGCTACTAATAAAATGTTTGAAAAAAGAATGGCCAAGCTTTTTAAATAATTTGATAGTCCTCAACTCAAGACTTGAATACCAAGCATGGTTTGCTTCTTTGAGTCTAGCTAGGAATGATTTACACATAACAGCTGATATGCCTTTATGTTCGACATTCTAAAATTGGGTAGAGGTAGAGCTCGGCCAATCCTTTTGATGAAAGGAGATTTTTTTAGAAATTTCAGCTCCTCACTGAGGTTTTATTTTTTATTTTCT